GAAGTTTTTAACTTAACAACATTTGTTTTCCGAGAATCACGTGACAGTAAAATCGATCCTGCGCCCTGTCAAAATTCTATGTAGGACTAGTATCACCAGTCTAAAAAATTTCGCACATCATGTGATCTTATTGCAAAACTAAAAAAAAATTTCGCTAAGAAAAAACATTTCACTGTCAGGTTAGGGTTAGGGTATTGCAAGTAGGTTAAGTTTAGAGGGATATAGTTATACCAAAATTTTGCGAGGAAAACTTTTTGTTAATACGCAGAAGGCAGTTTCATTGAGTTATGAGCGATTTTTAACAAAACGAACGTTTTTTGAATTTTCCTGATCGTGCAACGTTACACCTGATCTTGAAATTTGATTGGCCAGCGAAATTTTAGACTGGCGTTTTACCCCCGTTAATTGGTGCGGCAGCTATGTCCAATTTTTTTGCTATGCAAGTCAGAGCACAAAACATTGTAAAATTTCGGAAATTTCCGTTTACGTAAGATAATTTCCGCCTCGACTTTTCATCAGTCGGAAATTTATATTAGATAAATTTTATTGGTCATTATGTTTGAACCTCTGATTAAAAAAGAAATCGCCGGCAAAAAAAGCAGGTTACATCACCCGGAAATTTTGTGCCCTGATGCAAGTTATAACCGTATGATCTGTCATTGTTGGTCAGACACTAACATTTGTGGATACGTTTACCCCTGTAAGAACAATAATTGTTATTGGGTAAGATTTACGGAGTGGTCACACTAGTGTTTATATATGTTAAATTACTTGTAGCAATTGCTTAATGACTTATTCCTAAATGAACTCTTGCGTACGTGTAGTTTATGCATATTTAAGTTTAAATTAAAACATTTCGCCATGGCAAGACGTCGATCAAGGAGTTTTATTATTGCAGAAAAACCGACCTCTTATGTCAAAAGTCTTGACCAATATGCCTTGCCGAATTTGAATTCGAATTGGGTGTATTATAAAGGTTTCACTTGATTTAGAAAAAAAAAGTTTTCTTTTACACATTATTTAATAATTTGACTTTAACATTTTATTATAGGCGCGTGGTTTATTCATATCATTTTGATTCTCTGTGTTAAGATAATTTCCAGCATAATTCCCTGTATATCTCCAGAGACTAGTTGGACATTTACTAATTTATCGTACATGCTTGTGAGTCCAATTTAAATTATATATCCGAGGTCGTATGATAGGATGTATGGAGATAGAAATTAAATAGAATCTATTTAATTATTATATATATATATATATATATATAATATATATATATTTTTTCTTTTTCGTTTTTTTTCATTTTTTTTTTTTTTTTTTTTTGCGAATCATTTGATTAATTAGGGAAGTTTTGTAATGTTCCATTGGGTCAAAGGAGTTCCATTCGACTTTAATTCCGGAGCTTACGATGGCCTGACCTTATGGGAGCAGATTGATAATGGAGCGCAGTTTACACCAGCTAAAAAGTATTTAACCGCCGTTCCAATTGGATTGTATGTAAGCAACTATTCTGAGATTTTACAATAAAATCCAGACCATTAACAGCAATACACCTAAGGACAAATCTCATTGAATTTTATATTATTCACAGGTTCCTACTTAGTACACATTACACACACTATGATGCGTTCACATTTTTGATTAATTTTACGTTTTTATTGGTTGTGCTTATAGCTAAATTACCACAATTACATAAGGTTCGGATATTCGGAATCAATAGGTGGGAAGATGAATAAAGAATTCACGAAAGGATGGCCTTGGTGACATGAAAATAGTGGATGCTGTCAATTTCGAGATAATTATCGTGAGAATTGGACCGAATATTCGCAGATATTCTGAAATATTATATGACAAAGATGTGAATTCAGATTTTCTTGATTATGGTGTCTAAAACGATTTAATAGCTGATTTTCTTTATATACTCTGGGATTTATTTTAATCTCTGAAAAAATTAATCATTTTTAACATTGTATGTATAAAACCAGTCAACCGAAACAATTTCTTTCCATTAAAATTATTAGATAATGCAAAATTCATATTCCAAAATCTTATTTCAAATAATGAAATTTAAAATTTATTTTAATGAACCATTTAATAACGAGAGCCAGCATGCAAAGCGATTTTTATGGTTTTTACTGCGTCCTCTTCGACTCTTCAGTCAATCCATTGTTGCTGATTAGCGATTTACCAAACAAAGAAAAAAAGTGAAAAACACAAAAAATAAAGAAAATGGGTGTTTAAACCTACCTCGGGGCACTAATAAAAAATGTCAGGAAGGTAATTTTACTTATAAGCCTTGCCCTAATCTTAACCCCTCGCCAACCCTTACCCTAATATTAATTAAATATTAAAAAACATATAAATACACCTGGCTTTATCCATCCCCCAAATTTGGAATCAGGTTCTAAAACGATCCATGTGAAATTCTTACAATTTGATTGGCGCACGCTTACTTTTTTTTTTACTTTTTTGATATGAATTTTTATATTTGTTTAATACTAAAAAGTCTTCAAACATATAATATTCGACCTCTAGTTTTGATAATCAAAGTTAATCGGTCAAGTTTTATTCTTTTAGCAAAAGTAAATGAGACCTCAAATTATATATTTGTATATAGCTAATTATACAATTTAACTAAAACATTTACTTTTTTTTATTTTTATAGTGTTTACTTACCAAAGACCTAAAGTGGAAGATTTTGAGTGCATTTTCATAGATCTTGTTGATTATTATATATCAATTTATTTAAAATCTTGCAAAACTAGTGAATTGCAGACATGATGATATGTTAATAGTACAAATATAGCTAAGAATCTTTCAAAATATCATGATTATATTGCAGAACTTGCTGAATGCTATTCTTTTTTAGCAATTTATTCAATTTGTCAAATATATTACAATCAAGTAATTAATACTAATTAGTTTTATTAACATATTGTAGACTTTGTTTAAGAAAACAGAATGTCTTGACTTGATAAAAATAATTTAGATATTGATACTAGCTATGTTGATCTGATAGTTGAACTTAATTGAATTAAAAGATTTTTGAAATTTGTACAAATAGAAAATCAGCAAAAATTACAAGAAATAACAACTTTTAATGATCAAATTGTACAAATACAACAGTATATAGATAGTTAAAAAAATAAAATAGAGGAGCTAAGAAGTTAATTACAAAAAACTCATAACAATTTTATTGAAATTCAAGGTTTATATTTTGAATAATACAAGTACAATGAAGCTTTTATTGAACAATAGCATTCAAGATTCACTAATCAACAAAAATATATAGATACAATTGTTGAAATAGTAAAGGCAAAGTATATATTATTTTTTAATAATATTGTAGTATTAATTTGAGATAGTAAGAGGTTTTCTATTGTTATAGTACTATGCCCTTCTTAATTGCAGTACTATGACAATAACACAGATACAAAAATCTTTCACAGGTTTATAATGGTATTCAACAAATAAATATAATTTTTACTACAATTAGAAATTATATTTTTCTGTCTGTAGCAGTTTAGACAAATAATAGTTTATAAATAAAATATATATTTTATTAAGAGAAATAAGATAAACTATCTTTAGATTCCTATTTCTAAAGAATTCTATAATATTACAAGAGAGGATTTAGAGAAGAGAGAAGTTTAGGTCTAAGAGTGGATGGTAATAGTTTAATGTTAATTTAAAGAAATTTACAACTTTTTATATTTTTAGAGCTAATTGCTAATTGTTATAGTTAAGTATAGTTTACTTAGTATTAAGTATAAAGTATAATCGCTAATCATTAAGCATTAAGTATTAATCATTAATTACTAAATATTAAGCATTAAATATTAATTATAGTGCTCTTATATTTGGTTTGAGTTCAGTCTGGTCTGGGTCTAATCTGGGATTAAACCAAACTTAGACTCTAAATTTTACTAATTTTAAACTTTAAACCAAACTCAAATTTAATTATGAGTCTGGTCTAGATCTGGTCTGAAGTTTGCAGACTAGTTCAAGTCCAAATATATTTATCTAATTTAAAGTTTAGTGTGAAGTTTGCAAATAGTCCAGTTTGGTCTGATTGGTTTTTTTGTGGTTTAGTTTATTATATAAGCAGATTTGTTGCTTATATGATAAGCTAAACTACAAAAAAACTACCAAACTGAATCAAACTGTTTGCAAACTTCAGATCTAATGCTTTTCAAATATCTGTAGCTATAGTTTATAGAATTTAACCATCTACAAAGCTTTAATTTATCAAAAATAACGAATATGTAAGAAATTTGCTGATTTGAATAATGACCTGATACATGACAATAGTTATACTAAAGTTATTATTACAAAGATCTTTATATACAAAATTAAGCCCATAAATATATTTATAGAATTAGTATTGCTATTTAAAGTTAAAAAAAAATAAGAAATGAATAAATATGGTATATAATGATAAGAAAAAAGATTGTAAATCGATAGTGCTTTTTTCTTTTGCTATCTGGCTCTTTCATAATATCTTATCTGCAATTTATAATTCATATTAAAATCTCTAAATTTACAAAATTATATCTAGTAGCAATATTAAAAGCAAGATTTTGAAAAATACAAATATATACAAAAGTGTATGCATTGTAACTGATATAATATATCACTAGCTTGGTACTATACAAGTAGTTTTTGAAAAACAGCTCAAGTATGAACAAATATAGTAGTTGATGATAAAAGTATATAATTACAAGTTATTATAATAGAAGATATATATAGTATAATTGATATAATAAGTTAGTTCACTTTGAAAATATAATTTATAGAAATTGAAGAGCATCTTTATCTTATCCCTTAGATTGTAGACCAACGCAGTCAAATTTGTTTGTGTTGGTACTTTTTTAACAATTTAAAATATTCAAATAAAATTTGGTATAATAATATTTGAAAATATAGATTACTTTTTTATAGTAT